AGACAAAGATATTATTTATTGCTCATGTAATGCGCATAATATACTCAAACTAAGAAAAATATATATGTATATTTATACACTGTGAAAGAAATTCAAAAAATGTAAGTATTATCTTCAGGAGTGTAAATATAGAGGTTAAGGTTTGGGACAGACCCCTCGTAATAGAAAGCAATGGTTACATATGTATATAAATGATTATATATTTCGCTTATTACTATCTCTATTAATGCCTTGGGTTTAAATAGATCATAATGCAGTCCTATTATTTAAGGTCTGAATACTTCATTGCTTTTATTTATTTATTTAAACTGTGTGACTGCAAATTGAGCTAATTTGGTGGACTAGTCCATATATAAAATGGTCATTTTAGCCGAAAATCTGAACATATCCATACAGAATGTCACATTATGCACACAGTTATTCAGCAGTTGGAATCTGATGTGTGTATCAGGCGTCCCTAAAGAAATTCATACAGGTCACTTTGCACATTAAACTCTCTGCCTACGAAAACCATCCAGCTTACATTGCATATCCAGCCTTTTTCCGTTTTAATAAAATAGACATTCATACATGACATATTTTAATTTCTGCTCCGCTGTGTGTTGGTATTATTATTGCTATGTTGAGGTTTCAAAAAGGTTTTTATTTATTTATTTTTTTATTTATTCATTTTTTTTTAAAGGCAACTTCACCCTAAGACCTTTTCCATGAACAGCTGAAATGCACTGCTCTGTAATAATAAAATATACCAGATTTGCTTAAAATATGATCTTTCCAAACTGTAAAAATATCACTTTTATGAACTGGGCTGAGCCTCAGATCTTTACATGCTCAGCCAATGTATTTTCCCATCTGTTCCACTACAGAGTGGAAGGAAAAGTGTGTATCTGCTTGTAAACGTCCACCAGGTGCATGATGGGAAATAATCTCAAAAATCTAGTTGCAGTCTTGTAAATAGTGACACTGTAAGATTCCAAGTCTTTGCAAAATCATAGTCTGTGACTAAAAACCGTGACGCCGTCTTTAGGTGTGAGAGGGAGTCAGACTTTAGTCTTCTAAAAGTCTTTTTAAAGGCTTCTAGTGTAGATTAGCATAATGTGAACACATGTATTCCAGCCAGTTACTGTTTAAAGGTTTTAAATATGAATGACACAAAGCCTGAACATCAGCAGGAAAGGTGCACCAGTGATGTTCCAGCTGTTGACAGGTGAGCTGCTTCTCCGAGAGCTTCGTTTACTCTGTTTCTGTGTGTTTGGTCAGATGACATCACTTTGACGGTGGACGGGAAGGACACGTATGATGAAGTGAAGCGGATGGGGCGGTACAGGTGAGGGCTCATCACACACACTCCCACACAAACACACACACACACACACACACACTCCCACACACACACACGCACACACACACACACACACTGACAGGCAGATAGGTGTGCACACCTGAGGCACGTTCTCTGCATGTGTGTGTTGACACACCTGTGTGTGTGTGTGTGTGTGTGTGTGTTCTGGCTCTGCAGGGAGTGTAAACGCACTCAGGGTGTGTCGACCACAGACCTGGTTGGCCGGATGCTGCTGATGACGAAAGCTCATCACACTAACATGGTGAGTAACACTCGTGCGCTTCTGTGAAAGTAAACGTATTTTATTGGCTGATATTTATCAGTTTCATTCAGTCAAATCTAAAAATATAAATCATAGTTACATCTGATTTACGTTTTGTATGGACACAGTCTGGGCTTCTGAGTTCTTTCTGTCTGTTTTAATGTCAGAAAAGACCAAAACATGGCAAAAACGTGAAGTTTTTTCAAGACTGTGTACACAATAATAAACTCAAATCATAATGAACAGTGTGTCCCAATTCAGGGGCTGCATTCTTAGGAGGACGCGGTCTATGAAGGTGTGTCCCTCGAAGGCTGAACTGAAATGAGACCGTCTGCACTACGGCTTATTTCTTGCTTTCTTCACAGCACTGCTGTTCCCGCCCTCACCGCTGTGTCATGAAGCGCCACTTCTGTCAAGTTCTTTTAAAGCCCTTTAAAGACGGAGCCACAAACTTTAATTTTAGTTTTTTTTTTTCATTTATTAGAGCTGGAGATGCTTCCCCTGCCGGCAACTGATGAGATTGGCTTTTTTAACATTTGTATCTTTAGCTGTTCGAATCAGTTTAAACCCAATACTTCGCTTCCCTGCTGACGCCACCATGTTCTCGAATCCTTGCCGGCACACAGTGAATCTGGGGATGTGTTGGCTGGTGAAGGATCCGCCTGTTGGATCCTTCATTGCCGTGAAAAAGAAGGACACATTTCTCGGCCGCATATGACTTTGAAATGGGACAGTCTAGTCGCGCCGCTGAGACATAGTCGGCCTTCAAATGCAGCCTCCAAAGGACGCAGCACCTGAATTGGGACACAGCAAAAATCTTCTCTTCTACTTACAAACACACGTAGTGTGGATTGAAAACGTATGATCTGCACTTTACATACTGTTTCTCTTCTTCCAGTGAGAAATAATTTATACAAAATTATAACGTGATTTTAGGATCGCCGGCGGTAAATAAGACTCACTGCAAGAGGTAAATAATGACTTGCATGTTTTTTATGCCTATTTCTCTCTCTCTCTCTCTCTCTCTCTCAGGATAACTCCGATTACCAACAACATGCAGATAACTTTGGGAAGGTGAGTTTTGAGCTGCGTGGAAAAGAATTTCCTGCAATAAGCCTTTTTCTCTTGTATTTAAACAAAGGATTTTACTCAGATGGGCCACTAGAGGTCACCCATTGCCTGTTAATACCACTGAAATCCTCTCATTAACGTTCCTTATGAGAAATAAACCTGCACAACTTGATATACAGTTTAAAACCTCTTAAATTAGTTGTAAATGAGTTTAAATGAGTGACCTGATTACTCGTTTAAAATGAAAACACAGATTTTGTCTGAAAGACTCAAATTGTGTTTGAAATTCTCCTGCTGCTCTCTTACAGTGAGAAACAGAGTCAGAGGGACATTTATTCAGCCTGTTTATTTGCATTTTAGCATATGGTGTTTAGATATATTTACAGTTGTATGTAACAGTTTAGGTGCCCCCAGTTAAATTATGTTTTGTTGAGTTTTTAAGAGAAAATAAGCAAACGTGTCACACTTAAATATCGTGATTTCCTGAGTTCATCTGGGTTTTGCATATTGGGAAAAATAAAACATAAAATAAAATGTGCCATAACATCTTCATACTGGCTCACATGAACAGCTACTTCCTTAATCTTGAATACTTTTATTGTGTAAAGTGTAAATGTGTTCATTTGCATTAATTGTAATGTTTTGTGATGGTTTTACACATACAATCATACTAACTGCTGAGATAAATGATATTAAACATTGTATTTAGTTGTACTACATATATATATGTGTGTGTGTGTGTGTGTATGTGGTGTTATTATGTAGCTTCACTTAAGCTGTTTTCTACTGCTGTTTCCTCAGGGTCCTAAAGGCCATAGTCCGTGGACCGGGGTCTCTCAGTTCCTCCAGACGTCTCAGAAGATCATCCAGTTCGCCTCAGGGAAAGAGCCCCAGCCTGGAGACACCATCATTTACGTAGCCGGAGCGTTCGACCTCTTCCGTATCCTTCTGTTCAGTTACTCAGTAAAACCGGGTGCAGACTGGCCAGACTGGACCAGGGCTGCATGATATGGACATAAAATGTGATGTCTGATAAAGCTGTTGGATAATTCATGATTTAAATTATGTTTCTTTGACTGGATGTTCTGCAAGTACATTTTTTTTTTTTGCGGTATGAACAGAAATCTAGCTAAGGCCCAATCCCATTTCACTCCTCTCCCCTACTCCTCTGTTTTGTGTTTTCTCACCTGGGAAGTGGGATAGGGTGTCTTGATTTTGGTTGAGATAGAGGGAGTAGGGTGAAGTGTTAGAGCTACATGGCCCTCCAAACGGAGGTTTTCAGAGACACTCCAAACAGAGCGTTATGAGGAAAAAAAAATAAGAAAAACAGGCGAGATGGAGCACAAGAGACCAAATAAACCCACAAATGTTAGAATTTACTCTGTTAAAAATTACGCTAACCACTATATTATCTTAGTTTAATGTTGCTTCAATGTATTGTGGTCCTTTTGTTCATAACAAGCATTGAAAAATCGTTAGTAGTAGATGATGTCTTCGTAGCTAGATAAATTCCCCGTTCCACCTTAAATGGTGTAGCAGGTACATTCTGGCTCCTCAGGCCTCAGAACTGCTGCACCATTTAAGGTGGAACGGGAAAATTCGAACGAGAAGCTGGTGAATATCTGACTTCAGCTTCATATCACGGAAGAATTAGTGGTGGGTGATAATAAATAATTGCCCCCCTCTTTGAAGGCATATGATGCCCTAAATGTAACTAAAGCCCAGCAGTGAGGAGCTGAACTTTACCCTCCTCTGCTGTCACTGCAGACTGGCAGCGTCGCCTACAGAGCAGCGCTGGTAGCTGTTAATGAAGCTCTTTTTATTTGAGGGTCCCATTTCATAGAGGAAGATTTCAACCACTACCCCTGTAACTCAGTTCCAAGGGGTTAGGGTGACACTCGAAAACAAGGGAGGGGTAGAAATAAGAAATGGGATTTGGCCCCAACTTCTCCTATCCAGCTAATGAAGCTGTGCGTATTGATTGCCGCTGTTCTTTAGTTAAATAAACTTAACATGGCTTTTTTTGATCAGACCATTTTGTTCTTGTGGGAGGGGCTTGTAGAAAAACTTTTTCTGTCAGTGCAGTGTGTCACATCGGAATGAAAACAATTAGTGTGTGTGTGTGCGCAGTGTTTCTCCTTGACTCCCTCTGATAGATATCGGTCATGTGGACTTCCTGGAGGCGGTGTTCAAACAAGCAGAGAGACCGTACGTCATCGTGGGGCTGCACTTCGACCAGGTGTGTGAACATACACGGACGCTTGTGTGTTATTTTTGGGGACATACATTGATTTCTTGTGATGTGTGTATTACTGTAGCCAAGTAATACTACACCTACCCCTGCAACCTTAAACCTTACCATCCAAAAAACAATCTTTATTCTCTTTTAGAATATTTTAGTAAATAATTTGTGGTGAAAACAGACCTGAAACCTGAAAAATGTCCTCACTTGTGCAGAACTGTCATGTCGTAGTTTCATTGTGAGGACATGTGGTCCTCACAAGGATAGTAAGACAAGCACAAACGCTCACAAACGGACCCACCAAACAGGTCCTTCAGCGCAGTTTTGACCTTCGGCCTGGTATGCTGCACCAAAACATGTGGATCATCAAGTTAATGTTGTTTTTTCTTACTCTTATTAAATGTGACTCTGACCTACAGTAGACTGAGAGAGCCTGTTTACACCATGTGCTTCATGTCCGGATCAGATCTGGGTACCTTGTAGAAGGGTTCCTCGAGGGTTCCTATGGGTACCTCCCAGAAGGGTTCCATATGCAGAACAGCAGAGGGAGGAGTCACAGTGTTGGGAGGGGTTTGGATTGTTGAATGTGGCTTGGAGAGATGGATACATTTATACTCATATCTGGCTAAAATGCATCATCAGATTCATCATCAGATTCAAGATCAGATTCAAATCTGAATGATAAATTGGACAGTTCTGGTCCTAAAATCTGATTGGCTGAGCCGCTTTCAAAGCCGTTGTAAAATCCACTATATAAGCACACCTATGACTATCTGACAACAGCTGTATCACTACCACAGCACGAAAATCCCTTCTGCTGTTAATGGATTAATCTTTGACTCTAATGCTGCTCACATGGAGCACCGAGTGAACTGATGAAGTAAGAACCCTCTTTTGTTTAAACTGAGGGACTGACAACTTATATTCTTATCTAGAACTGGGCTGGTCAGCTAGCTAATAGGCTAAAAGAGCCAACAGCCTGAACAGCTCCATCATTAATATCACAGGCTTGAATCAAAGCACTTACAGTATGATTAACTGTAAAACTGCAGTATAAAAGTCTAAAAATGACACTTGAATGTCTCACACACTTCAAATGTTCTTAGCTGTATTTTGCTTTGTTGAGCTGCAGGGGTCAGTATTTAAATCCCTACGTAGTGCACTATGTAGGGAGCAGGGAGCTTTTTGAGATTCAGCCCCAGCGTGAGAAGAGGGCACCACTGGATTAGAGCTAAGTAAGACTCACGGTGGTAATTTGATGGCCAAAAAGTACTTATAAAGCGAGGGTTTATGCATTAAACTGTGCTGTGTTATCATTTGTTCATTGTTATACAACAAAAAGTAAAAAGTTGATTAAATGACTGAAATATGCAGCGATGGGCGACTGAACGTTCTCTACAGCGGTCCATGGTTGCTTGGCAATGATACTGTACTCCAAAGGAACTACATTTCTTGGTGGAATACTTGTTTATGTCGATCATTGTTAATAATAACAAATTATTTTCTGAAACAGTGTTTTAATTTATCATATTTAATGTTGACCGCCGTTTTATAAAAGCAATAAGCCGCTTGAGGCAGTGCATTACTGAGGTTTTATCAAGGGGGGTGAGGGGTTTAGTCCGCTTCACGTCGTGCCTAACAACACCCTTCCCCGTGATAAAATAACAGTAACGTACCTCCCCTAGTGGCTTATTACTGTATTAAATGCGTTTACACCTTCATTTTAATGCAGATTATCTTAGTCCAGATTTAATCCTGATAGTAGTGATGCATAAAACAACCAGGTGTAAATGAGGACTAAGTTATCAGACCATCAGTGAAAAACTAGTTAGTTTGGCCTGTAAGGGAGAGGAAATTACCCCAGAATCCCATGTCAGTTTAATCCACCTCAAATAGGGTTTTATGCTGGGATTTGAAGTGTTAAGTGTGAAGTTTCTTATACTATCCTGAAGTATTTTTGCTGAATAAAATGCTTGCATGTACTTTCCCATGTTTTAATGGACATGAACTTGAGGAAAAATGCCATTCTAATCTTGACTCTTGCCTATTTCGAAACGTTTCTTTATAATAATTTAATCGGCTCATTAATTCAGATACAGACAGCTGAAGCAAACTGCGTTTATCTCACATGTAAACTGTGAATTTAAGCCGCTAATGATGGAACATATTCCATGTGGAGCTGGAGTCAAAAGGGAATAGCACTGAGTTTTCTACATTTCTGCATAAAATGGAAAGCTTCATTGTAGAGAAACCAGGGGTCTCCATGACTACAACACAAATATAGAAACTTTTTTTTTTCAATATTCAACTTCAAATGTCCTCTGAGCTTTTATATCTAATGTTGAATTTGATACAGTAAGTTTTCTTTATGGACTGTTTTCCTAACAACCACCTGCAGCTTTCAGTAAAGTAGCTTTTGGAGCAGTGGTTCTCCACATATTTTGTTCTATACTCATGCATTGTGGACCATCTTCGGGATGGTGGGTTTGGGATAGTTTGAGAACCTGTTTTAGACACATTAAACTCTTCAGACATCTGGTTCAGACTTCAGAATTTTGGCTTGCTATGTTTCTCTAGAAGACCAAACCACTCTGACTGACATTACATCTCACCCATTCAGTTCTGCAGAAATTTTGGTCAAATTCCCCTTTAATACACAGTTCCAGAACTATAATAAGCACATAAAATATTAGTGCTGTTTTTGCTTACGCTCACATCTCCAGACCCTGCTTGGCTGCCTGGGGGGCTCCAAAAGGGCACATGTGTTTTAACTTTAGAGGACATAAATAAGCTGTGGGAGAGATTACTGTTCATTTCCTCTCTGAAACGCTGGATGTTTCTGCTCATATTTCACCCTCAGCATGTGTTTCACTCACAGATAAAACCTCACAGCGTCTCTCAGAGCCAGTAAAGGCGGCCAAACGCTGTTAGAGAGATTATAGAGGAACATTCAGCTGGAAAAAGGCCCTACAGTGTGTAGAGTAGCAGCAGTAAAGTTTTCATTGTGTTTACTTCCTTCTTGTTAGCAGGTTCCTCACTAGTTCTCAGCTCATTCAGGCAGCACTGGTTTAAAGGAAGAGTGCAGTGAAAAATCAGACCCCCTTACCGTGTCCCCCTCTCACACTGCATTCACATTGGCAGCGATGTGACGCGTCAAAGCGGCCAGAGGTCATTCATTTTCAGTGAGAGCTGGCGATTTCCAGCGACAGGAGGCAGCGGCGAACGTTGGTGACGTGAAGTGGGCACATAAGGAGTGAAGTGATGTGGAGATTACCAGTAGGAATTGAGCAGCGTAGTACACGCTTTAACTCCTCCACTGTGAAACAGTGCGCTCCTCTTTTTGGTTCCTTCTACAGGTGGAATAATGGCGGCGGCGGACAGTAATCACAAAAACCAAATAGCGTTTTCCTCACAAACTGACTGCACAGACACAGGGATTAAGTACAAATAAGCTCACAAGCGATTTCTCATCAGGATTCTTATTTTTAGCAGGAACGCATCTGATTTGTGCCTGGTGTCAGTGAAACCATGGCAACCAAAGGTCGGTTCGAGTTGAGAAACGCCCTCAGGCGATGAGTGATCAGCAATTTGGGTGACGAGAGGCGAAAAGTCGCTGCCGGTGAGAACGCAGGGTTAGTTCAAATGTAGCCGATCAGCCGAGACGTTAGGTGTCTGAGATTTGCTCTTTTAGTTTTGGCACTCGAGCTTTTGGTATGAGGCTTTAGCTAACAAGCAAAGGCAGCTTATGTGCACTAATTAGCATCATTGAGGTTGGTAGAGTATAGGGTGGTATAGTGTAGTGGGTAACACCCCTCCTCCCACGCTGCAGATGGGTTGGATCCTCCGCCTAGGCAGCACCCTATACTATACCAAATAGAGTCCTTGGGCAAGACTCCTAACACTACCTTCACCAACCTGTGTAAAGGCCTCAGCATATTTTTTGTGGAGATGACGTTCACAAGCTTCAGTAAACAATATGACGTAATTACGGAGAAAACGGACAACCTCAGACGTCGCACGGAGGCTTCGTTTGCTTTGTTGCACACATGGCAGCCGGGTGAACTCCACGGACGAAGACGCTGTGCGACAAAGCCTCTGATTGGTCGGTAAAAAAGAGACGTACCTTGAAACACGGATAGACGACTTTGAGGAGCTTCGTTTCGCAAGTACGCTAAGCGCTTTGGCAGCCACACCAATATTTCACTGTGAAACTGCATTTGTTAAATAAACAATGAAAACCTCCTAAATGTAAGACGTTAAGTTGATTATTTGGTAGTACTAACTAGTACTAAGCACCAACACATATAGGTTGACTTTGTTGGCTTTGTATTCAGCAGCTTCTTGTTTGAATTTTACACTGAACGCAGTTCGTGCTTTAAAGTTGCTGCTGCAGCCGCTTTCAGAGGAACAGTTTTTATTTTCTCCCTCAAAAATGATCAGTCTCTCAGCGATTTATCAGCGGGGACTAGATGTTCCTTCACTGATACTGGTGGTTCCACCTTGAACGGTGCCTGGGTCGCTATAGAGAGCGGAATAATGTAGTGGGTAATGCCTCTGCCCTCTGCACTGTAGACTGGGGTTCAGTCCCCCGCCTGGGCAAGCAGCCTACACTATACCAATAAGAGTCCTTGGGCTAGACTCCTAACGCTACCTTAGCCTACCTGTGTAAAATGATCAAATTGGAAGTCGCTCTGGATAAGAGCGTCTGCCAAATGCCATAAATGTAAAAGTAATGTAACTGCTGCACCATTTAAGGTGGAAAGGAACCTGACTTCAGCCTTGCGACCTTTTAGTGTTTGACAGTTTCTCGTTGCAGAATAAATGTATCAGGAAACCAGCTGAGTGCTTATAAACGCAAATAAGAAAACGTCTACAGTGGCGCTACGGACCACGTCTTATTATTAGATATGGCTTATCTAGCGTTTTGGTTATAGTTATTTTCACCTTCCAATCGATTTATCACTCTGTAGATGTTAACTTAGCTGTCGTTACTGTACTCTGATAGCTCTGATATCTCCTTTATTTAGTTTGGACTCCCACATTGTTGTGTGTTTGGTTCTCCAACAGTTCTGGACATCCTCGAATTTTAGTCTTGGCAACTATGACAAAGATAAAGTGGCACACCTTTCTGTGGTGAGCTGAAGTGATACGAACGCCTGTATTTCTGAGGTTAATAACTGTCTGAAAGGCAATAGTGTGCAGGTTATGTGTGGGTTAAAGGAGTTAGGCATCGCTTTAACAGGTGTGATGTATCAATGTTTGTTACAGGAAGTGAACCGTTACAAAGGGAAGAACTATCCCATCATGAACATCCACGAGAGGACGCTGAGTGTGCTGGCGTGCCGGGTGAGTGAGAGAGCAAACACACACATATCCACTTGTATACAAACTTGTAAACAAACATGTAAACAAAGGCATGATTGGTCGTATCATTTAAAAGACAATGTTAGTATTTTCCTCTAATCTTCCTTCAAAATCTCATGACTTTTGTCCTGCAACTAAATTTGTGATGTCACTATGTACCAAGGGGCAGGGCATAACAATATTAGCCAATAATATCATGTTTTACCACCCCCAGCTATCATGAAAGGAAAACTGCTTAATCTTTAATCTTTAATATTTTTATTTAAAAAGCAAAACTGAGCTTGGTCTATTGCTGAATTATCACTTTGCCAGCATAGATTTGACTGCTTTGTCTAGATCTCTTCACCTGTTAGTGAATATCTCTCTCTCTCTCTCTCTTTCTCTCCTTCAGTATGTGTCGGAAGTGGTGATCGGGGCTCCATACGCTGTGGATAAAGACCTTCTAGATCATTTTAAGGTACAGTCAAGTATTCAGCATCACTTTAACCCTTATAATAGAGTTATTAGTGCTTTACATTTCACGTCATTTCCCGAATATTCCTTTTCTTTCTTGTATTATTTTTCTGCCAGAATTTTGTCTGCTAACTTGTCACCACAGTCTTCGAGATACTGACTTTAGTCCTATCAGGAATTGTGGATACTTTGTTTCCTACAATTACCAATTAGCAAAAAATCACAGTTTTTTGTTTTTTTTTTCCTCGAAAGGAAATGAACAGCAAAATTTTATGTGCGAACATTTGTACATTCGACTTACGGGATGGTAATACAAGTACACAAGCAACATCCTAGCAACCACCTAGCAACACTGTAACAACGTACTGGGATACCATAGCAACTGCCTAGCAACACCCTAGCAACTATCTATTAATTACCAACTATCATCATTCTGGCAACCGCCTGAGATACCATAGCAACCCTCTGGCACCACCCTAGCAACCACCTGAGATACCATAGCAACCATCTGGAACCACCCTAGCAATCACAAGGGATGCATTACCAAACTCTTAGCAACACCCTAGCAACCATCTGGTATAGCATAGAAACCAACTAACATCATCTTAGCAGTCACTTGAGATTCCATAGCAATCCTCTAGCAACACCCAAGAAACCACCTGGGATACCTTACCAACCACTTAGCAACACCCTCACAAACCCTTGAAATGCCATAGCAGTCACCAGCAACACCCTAGCAACTGCCTGGGATATCGTAGCAACATCCTAGCAACAACCTGGGATACCATAGCAACCACCTAGCAACATCGTAACAACCCACTGGGATACCATAGCAACTGCCTAGCAACACCCTAGCAATAATCTATTACATACCAACTAGCATCATTCTAGCAACCACCTGAGATACTGTAGCATCTGTTTGGCACCACCCTAGCAACCACCTGGGATACATTACTAAACACCTAGCAATGCCCAAGAAACCACCTGGGATACCTTACCAACCACTTAGCGACACCCTCGGTGACAAACACTTGGAATGCCATAGCGGTCACCAGCAACACTCTAGCAACTGCCTGGGATACCATGGCAGCTGCATAGCTGGGATACTGTAGCAACTAACAACATCCTAGCAACCACTTGGAATACCATAGCAACCAGGGCTGTACTGGGCTGTTCCGCACTGTTCCAGACTCATGAAGTTACAGTTCCTGTTTCCATCTGTTGTACCGCTAAATCAGAACCAGGAGATACGCAAGAAAACTACACAAATGAGTGGCTAACTGCTAACAGGCTAACAGCAACAAACATGCCACCCACCACAAAACACGTTTTATTCCGTCTGTCACTCCAACTCCAGTCTCTCTCGGCTGCCTCAGCGGGACTTCGCTTCCTCAGAGCTGAGTCACGATCATCTAAGCATGTGTCAGTGAAGCTTTTGTTAGTCAGAATCGAACCTGTTCTGTGGTGAGCAGAGCTGGTAGAATGCTAGCTAAGCTAATGCTAACCAGCTGCTCTCTCCTGGTTATCAGCGCCGTTTAACTTTTAGAAATTGGTGTCAGATTGAAGCTTTGACGTTTATTGAATGGTAGGTTTAAAATCGTGCACTGCTTGCATTTATTTGCTGTCCATGTGAGCGAAATGAACTTATTTGACTGTTTTTGGGTTTGAATTAGCGCAGCAGGATGAGGCGGCACAATACTGACATAAACATAGACCCAGTTAGTGTATAGCTACGTCGTTACATCATCCCACCGAACGGTTCTGTGGCTCCGAGTACGGTTAGCAAACCATGCCGAAAAAACCGGGCTGAGCCCAGTTTTTAAGCGTTCCGTGTCGAACCGCGTCCGTGTGGAAACGCCACTGGAACTGTTACCCTCTGTGCTCAGTGGAAAAGAGGCCAAAATGTCTTTAAAATGGTCTTAAATCAGGGGGTCCTAAGGCTTAATAAGACTAGACTACATGTGTATGTATAATATTAATCGGCTGGATTGAAAAGAAGACTGTTTGTTTTTTTTTGAGAAAGTTACCTGGCTATAAAGCTAGACTTCTGTCCAGTTACATTCTTAATCTGTATAATGAGCTCATTTGCCTAAATAAGATAATCGTAGATAAAGTTTCTAATAAAGTTTTAAATAAAGCTTGTTAATTAAACTTGTATATCGCTGTTGTTGGAAGAAAACCTCCTATCTCCAAAATGGTAACTTTACAGGAGAAGGAAAAAACATACTTTACTTTTAATGTAAGTCAGTGGAACCAGATGTCTTTCCAAATCATTTTGGATCGTTTCTTTTGGTCCATTCATCATGAAATTCACACACAATATAAAGAGCAACAGGCATTTTCAAATTATGTCAAAAACTGAAAAACAGCAGCAAAAATCTGGTCTAGTCTGTAAATCTCTAAATTTAAAAAGCAAGATCTGTTGTTCATCTGCATAATTTTCTAGGTTGATTTTTGCAGTGTATGCTGGGAGTTGCAGTGCACAAAACAATAAAAAATTAAAATCAAGCGACTTTTTTGGTATTTATTGATGTACAATATGATTACAGATGCGATGTTCATTATATGTAATAAGCTGAAACTAAATACCGTCGTTATAGTGTGTTAATGTGACTGTACCGATAAAGATGATGTATTTCCCAGCACTGCTTTCACCCTGTAAAGCCCAGTGATCATCAGTCCGCTGTGTAATTCCTGCTGCTCTAATGCGCCGCCTCCCTGCAGGTGGACCTGGTGTGTCACGGACAGACGGAGGTGTTTCCGGATAAGGACGGCGCAGACCCCTACGCGGTGAGTGTGACCACCTTTACATACAGTCCTCTGATCAAATTAAGGGAAAAGAAGTTAATACAAGGCTTATTTCTATGCACAATTTCTATTTATTTAAAAATAGAAACTGACATAACTTTTGCACAGACCACATTTTATGTTACGTGTTTTCTCCGTTGTGCTTAACTTCACTTTGACCAGAGGCGCCAAAACTTTGGAATACGACTGTATACATACACCCTGTATGGGTTTGACCATTCATTTAGTGAAAATCTTAAAGGAAATAGAACTTGTTTGTGAGAATGTAATAACAGATCTGTGTTATTATAGCTAATATTCAATAACATCAGGCCTCAGGGGCTACTGTCCAGCAGTCAGAGACCCCTCATTTATTTCATTACCAGTCAAAACAGCCAAGTACACATGATTCATTCTTCAGGAGAAATTTCTGAGATTTTATATAAGATAATCCACTTTGAAGGACAAAGTCAAAGTGAAAAAATGGAGTTCAAAATATGATTAAAAGCTCCAGAGAAAATGAGGCTCCTAACAACCACCTGGAAGAGCTGGTCGACCCCAAAACTGCCCCCATCAGATAAACAGCACTTAAAGCTTTCATCTCTGAGAGAGAGGAGAAAATCAAGCTGCTTCAGATCTGAAAACATCCACAGGTGTTTCTGTCCATCCTTCCACTGTGAGAAGACGACTCAGCGCTGTGGGTCTGAAAGGATGTGTAGCTGTCAAGAAGGACCTCACTGAGAAAAGGAGACGGACACATCAAACAAAGAAGCTGAACGATGGACTGACCACCCCAGAGTCCAGACCTCAACACCACTGAATGTGAATGTGCATCTCTGGAGGTGTCGCGCTTGGCGAGGCCTTTAGCCTTGATTTAGCCTTTAACATAGCAGCCCGCTAGCCGGGTCTGTGCGTCCACTAGCCCCGCCTGCGGTGCGCCTCCGTCGTTCAGCTGTATCACTCAGCAGTGGGGTCTCACTGCCCGTCGCTTCAACCAAGCCAGAAAAACACTGAAAGTCACTGATACTGACAGCGTGAACGAGGATACTTACTGAACTGATGCTCAGAGACGCAGAACGATTGAACAAGACGCTCGTATGAGACAGACGACTCGAGAAATTTGGAAGATATTTTACATTTACTGAAGTTGTTAAACACGGTTCTTATAACTAATTACATAATGGTAAATACTAAATATATACAGTAAATAAACAAAAATATGTTTTCTTTAGCATCTAATAAATAGAATCCAACGCCATCTAGCCAAGCTGAGTGTGTTATTTTAGACGCAGAACTCAAAATTTAAATATTGTAACTGTATAAATATCAGGACTTGTAGGCGAGTTAGGTTAGATAGAGTTAGTATCGGTATCAGTACTCAGCATCGACCAATACTAAAGGATCAGATATCGGTATCGGAAGGGAAAAAGTGGTATCGGTGCATCTCTAATTATTACGTTTACTTGTTGTGTAGTTTTCTGTTACATATGTTTTCTGCTTGTTTTTGAGTGCTTATTTGTGCTTAATGGCCATTTTGCCTGGAAATGAAATAAAAGTGCTGTATTTATATACTGTATTTACAGTCATGTGAAAAGTTTGAGCAGCTCTGGTCAAATGACCTGTTTTAATGATTTTAGTGAAGCACGTCCTCTACAGAAAACACATTTCTGCCCACTTTAGTACACAATTACTGTTTATTTGCTGAATGTAACACACTGGGGGAAAAAATGAAGTAGAAAATGTGACCTGGACAAAATTATAAGTTCATATTTTATGTTTAATGTTTTTTATGTTAAACTTTGCAGAATTTTTCAGAAAATTATATATTAATAATTTATTATATATTCTTATATTCACTCGGAATATAATTTGGCTGGGGATGTTTAACCTTTTGCATCCGACTGTCCACATATACTGCGTATACTGTACAAGCTGCATCCTACAAGATGGTTCTTTAAAAGTTCTTTAGTAAAAGCACTGGTTCAATATAGAGCCATGAGTCCTCAAAGAACCATTTGAATACTTAAATTGTTCTTTGTGTGGTCAAATTGTTCTTCACAATGAAGAAAACCCAGTTGTAAAGGGTTCTTTAAAGAATCCTTTTAAAAAAGCTTCTGTTTAGCACCAAAAACCTTTTTCAGTACTATATAGAACCAATTTTGAGTGTGGATTCATTTACAGGAGTGTGTTCTCGTTTTCTTATGACATTTATCAAAGACAATGTCCGTCATACTGTTTGAGGTTTTGTTGTTTGTTTTTGTTTATTGTTTATTCCTGGACATCATTGCTGTAAACAGGAGCCGAAGAAGAGAGGAGTATTTCGTGTTATCGACAGCAGCAATGGCCTCACGACTGATGACATCGTCCAGAGAATCATTGAGAACAGGTGCGTTTGTGTGTCTTATTGTTTTCTATTATTGATTATTAAAAAAAGGAAGTTTATTTGTATGACAGCATTTTCTGTTGGTTTGCATGCATCAATTTAACCTCTAAGAGGTCTAGAGTTATTATTATTTTACCACCTCATAGGTCTTTACATATTAACATCTCAAAAAGAAGGCCTGCTCATGGGGGTCTGAAACACAACCCACGCTACAAAATGTTCCTGTACACGTTGTGTGCAATTACACATTTCCACCAGAGGGGTCTCCAAATCCCCAAAGGTTACATAGTGCAGCTTTAAATGTAATTCGTTACATTTACTTTCAAATTACATTCTGTATAAACAGTTTTGAGTCTGAATCACTGAATTTTTCTGTTTGTTTTGATGTCAGAAAATGACAATTACTGCAAAACCATGTCAAATTTTTTTCTTGTATTTGTTCCTCCAAAGAAGACTGTAGACACAATAAACCATAATAGCTCATCTCATTCCTCTCAGGCTGCAGTTTGAGGCGAGGAATCAGAAGAAAGAAGCGAAGGAGATGGCCGCGATCGAGGCACTGAGGCGCAGAGAGGACGGAGAGAAGAGCCAAGCTTAGTAGCAACCAACGAAAAGACACGACAACGAAAAACCAAGGGCTTGACCAGAAAAGCACTGGTCCTCTTTTCCTCTCCTTCCTTATCGTCCCCTGTCCCCCTGTCCTCCTGTCCTCCTGTCCTCTCCTCACACTTGGTGAAATACTGTGGACACTGTAGCGTCAGTCCCTTCTGCAACGTACTTTAAAGCAGCCTGGTTTTCGTCCACTGGGGGGAAAAAGGTGCTGCGAAATTATGATACTGTGAAAGAATCTGAGACCAAATCTGTTATCAGGGCAGACAGTTTTCACAACATGCACAATAATGTCCATATATACGATGATGTCAGAATGAATGCAAATAAACAGCAATACAGTCAATATTCATTTTATTTCTCTAGTATGCTAAGTTAGCCATTTTCAGACCTGTTCTAGTTGCCATTCAGTACCTGTTTAGGTTAATCAGTCCTTAATTAAAGCGCTACTTCAGCAACAAATCACACCCATAGGTAAGAAGGTAAACCTGTCGTCGATCATTGTACGAGGCTAATGTAGCTTAATGGAAGCTTTTTTTGTATAGAAAGTCTGTTTGAGATTTGGCAGCGTTTGAGGCGAGCGTGTGATGATTTTAGGTATGCAGTTAGCACCATGCTAATAGGTGTCCATAAGATTCTATTACTTGTTAGCTACATTAGCCTCGTAGCACTAGTGCAAAACTCAAGGACACCAAACATGCCTTTCCAAATCATGAACGCTGAATTACAGGCACAGATTAGCACGTCTAAATCATTATTTATAAACATGAACCAAATTGGATGTAGGCTTTCAGTTAGCACCATGCTAATTGGTGTCCATAAACTTCCATTACTTGTTAGCCACATTAGCATTGTAGCGGTAAAGAATCAAGCTTCAGACACCAAATATGTCTCGGCTGATCGACCACATTTGGATTAAGGATGAATTTATTTATTTACGTTAAATCAGGTTCTGGTGGTGGAACTAAACGGATCCATACGCTGCCTAAAGTGGAACCAAACATGTTCTTCCTACCACCAACACATTCTGCTTCCTTTTTACCGTGTTAATGTTTATTTGCATTCATGATAATGTTCTTTAGCCAGGTTCCCAGGCCCAGATTAAGGCTAATCTCAGACTAACAAGGAATTTCTAGTAGAAATTCACCATTGCTGCTGCAGTTTAGTCCGAGACTAGGCTTAATCCATGTCTGGGAAACCAGACCACAAGTAAAACACACTTACTGCCCAGATTTTACACAGTTTAACCTTTACAAAGTGCTGTATTTCCTCATTTGCACATTTGTTTGTTCAGTAACACAGAGAATGTGCTTGTTTTCCAACATGGGCGAGTTTAGAGCCCCAGCACCGCTTACAGGACTAAAACTGAGGGCTGCTTTAACAGAACAGGTCACGGTGGGAACTCTGGGTAAAAGTTTTTAGAATTTACTTCTGTTTAATAGCGATGGCTCATCGTGTGATGAGCGAGTGATTTAATTATGTAACAGTACCTGTTAAATGGGTAGAAACACACTGTAGTCTCTCTGTCGGAGAGGTTTGTAAAACAAGAAAAACAAAAAAAAACATTGTTTTCCTTCTTTCACTACAGTAATGTGATGTAGTGTTGTTTTAGTGATGGTTTTAATGTGTTTGTTCTACACACAACAGTCAGTGCTCACTCTCGTTGGAGATAAACACCTCAGAAAGCGCCGTTTACCCCTTTCCTGTGTTTCGTATCGCTGTTGAACAAAACCTCGTATCTCCAAAATGGTAACTTTACAGGAGAAGGAAAAAACATACTTTACTTTTAATGTAAGTCAATGGAACCAGAATTTTTTCCATGTAATTTTGGGCCGTTTCTTTTGGTCCATTCACCGTGAAATTTACACACAATGTAAAGGACAACAGACGTTTTCAAATTATATCAAAAACTGAAAATTGAGATGAGGTTTTGTTCTGACAGTAGTGATATTTGCCTTTCAGCTTTTCTTCTACGTGTGAGATTTATGCTAACTGGCTACTATAGAAGTTGCTCTCAAGTTTTGCCCAAAGAGCTTCTTTACCGAGCTTTATTAGTAAAGCGATGGCCAAAAAATCAAATTTAGTTTCCAGCGATTTTGCATGTTTTTGCGATATAAACAGTCATACAAAGTGGTTTGATTTTAAATGGTTCGTTACAGAGAAAGTTACAGACTTTACAGTGGTGGTGATAGGAACCAGGGGTCGCCATGACTACAACACAAATATAGACATTTTCTGCACAAGTCTTCTGAGTTTTATATGGAATATTGATGGTAAATCAATAGAAAATCTGAAAACGTATGTGTTTCTGGGGACTGTTTTGCCTCACAGCTCCTTGCATGTATGAATGGATTAAAATAAATGGATTATCAAGACGTTTTAAAAAAACTTTATCACAAAACTACCGTAAAACAGTGTCTCAGTCATCAGGCAGTGAATTCATAACCATTTAATGTAGTAACTTTCTGTGAGGGAGCTTTTAGAGGTGGACGTCTGGTTCCTATCACCACCACTGTGAACAGCTCTGACTCTGTAAGTTTCTCTAGAACAGAGCGTTTCACACCAAACCACTCTGAACGACTCTGTTTACATCTTAACCAGTTAATTATACAGAAATTTTGAGTTCCCCCTTGAACCAAATAGTCATTCAGCTAAAACAGGTTCAGTTTCTCAGGCTTGCTTCTTTATTTTTGCGCTTGTGCTACAAGGCTAATGTCGCTAACGCGTAGTAAAAGCTAATGCTACATTTGACTCTCTGAAGTGATAATATTTTTGCCGTTTGAGCTAAAAAGTAGAGGAAATAAAAAGGCAGCCTCCAAGAAAGCAAGTATTGTTAGCATCAAGCTAGCCAGCTAATGTTAGCATGATAAGAGAACTAAAGTTCATGATGTATTTAACTTTTCAAAAATTTGTAATGGATATTTAGTTTTGGTTATATTTAGCTGAATTTAGTAATAAGTTTAACCAACTACTGTGTTTTTGTTCACTGATTTAAAACTAATACTCTAATAATCTCATTTGAAAATAGAGAAGTGGAGCTTTATTACTGCTCACAGTGTGAACTGCCATGTTGATTTGGTGTTGAATGCTGAACTCGTAGTTGAGAACAATCTCAATGTTTTCTTTGGATATTTCTAGTTAGTAACTTGGAAATTCCAAGTTGAGAACACCTTCCCAACATTTTCTTTGGATATTTCTAGTTAGTAACTTGGAAATTTCAAGATGAGAAAACCTTCCCAATGTTTTCCTTGGCTATTTCTAGACATTATATTGGAAATTCCATTTTGAGAACACGTTCCCACCGTTTTCTTTAGATGTTTTAGTCAGTACCAAATGCCCAATCATTATATTTTTGACAATATATGAATATAAACATGAATCAAATGGATACAGGCATGCAGTTTAACAGGCATGCAGTACCGTAAGCTTGGATTACTTGCTAGCTGCATTAGCTTTATAACTTCAGTGCTACATAAAGAAGCAAACTTCACACACCAACTGTGTCGGCTGATCAATCAGGTTTTGACGGGGGAAATGTTTGATTTGATTTTGGACGAACCGTCGCCTTAAAGGAACACATTAGTTACCTTTTTTAATAGTGGCTAACAGTCAAAGCTAGTGGGGAGCAGTTAGCATGATTTCATTTGCATTGTGGGTGTTTTTTGGTGAAAGGTTTCTGCAGAAGAATGTAACTTACCATGTTAGACCCTGTTAGCTCTCCTCCACTCAAACCAAAGACTGCTGTTTTTAAAAGCTTTTACCTCAGATGATGTTTTAGATGCTCATGCTAGGCTAACGGCTTCAGCTGTTGTGGTCCCAACCCGTTCCCTTCCTGCAAATTAGCGTCAACCATACAATTAAAACCACCTCCTTGTTTCTACGCTCATTGTCCATTTTATCAGCTCCACTTACTATATAGGTGCACTTTGTAGTTCTACAGTTACAGACTGTAGTCCATCTGTTTCTCTGATACTTTGTTAGCCCCCTTTTACCCTGTTCTTCAGTGGTCAGGACCCCCATGGACCCTCACAGAGTAGGTACTATTTGGGTGGTGGATCATTCTCAGCACTGCAGTAACACTGACGTGGTGGTGGTGTTAGTGTGTGTTGTGCTGGTCTGAGTGGATCAGACACAGCAGTACTGCTGGAGTTTAAACACCTCAGTGTCACTGCTGGACTGAGAATAGTCCACCAACCAAAAATATCCAGCCAACAGCGTCCTGTGGGCAGCGTCCTGCGACCACTGATGAAGGACTAGAGAATGACCAACACAAACTGTGCAGCAGCAGATGAGCTATCGTCTCTGACTTTACATCTACAAGGTGGACTGACAAGGTAGGAGTGTCTAATAGAGTGGACAGTGAGTGGACACAGTGTTTAAAAACTCCAGCAGCACTGCTGTGTCTGATCCACTCACACCAGCACAACACACCCATGGGGGTCCTGACCACTGAAGAGCAGTATGCAGAGAAACAGATGGACTACGGTCAGTAATTGAAAAACTTTATGGTAAGTGGAGCTGATTAAATGGTGGTTTTAATGTTACGGCTGATGGGTTTATATTCATAGAGGAAATAATTTGGAACTTCCACTAATTTTGGGGAAATTACCAAAACAATAGGGTCGTCGTAGCAACTATCATCTAAATGGAAAGTGTAAGTTTGGTCTCTGAAGCAAAACAGTCTAATGATGCTAATAATGTTGAACTAATGCTCGATTTAAAATGTACGACGTCGTTTTAGGGCCACTGTTAATAAAAAATAAAAAAGTAGACTTTGAGAATAAAGTCGTAATATTTCAAGAAAAAAGTCATAATATTTCAAGAATAAAGTCGCACTATTTCGAGAATAAAGTTGTAATATTTTGGGAAAAAAGGTCGTAATATTTGGAGGATAAAGTGGGCTAACTGTAGGGGGGGCTAACTGTAGGGGGGCTGCCATAACGCGTTGGGGTCTCGGTTGCTGTTCTGGCGCCGGAGCTCCACTCACTCCTGTCTCTTTGTGAATCGATCATTTTGATCGATTCATTTTTGATTTGATTTTGTGTTTCTTTATGGGTGAATAGATATGAATGTATAACTAAACCACCTCCTCACCGACCCCTCATTTAACACGAGGAGGCGCTGCCTTCCCTTTGCAAAGCCTTTGGTCACAATACCGCGACCTTTCCTGGTATTAATGCCATTTTAGTGTCGTAATTCTGCGGTTTTATTATCGAAATAGTGCGACTTTTTTCTCTAAATATTACGACTTTATTCTCGAGGCCTACTGTTTTCATTTTTACTAACAGTGGCCCTAAACGCCACTAAAAATTAGAAGGTTGTAATTAGTGAAGTAGCTCCTCTGCTTTAAAACCACGTGATTTTGAAGAGTCAATAGGAGAGCAGATGTATTTACTATATTGTCTTTGGCACTCTTGGTAACCTGTCTGCTCCCCGGACGCTGGATCAGCGTCTAATGTGAAGAAATCGGGCGGATGAACGTTGAACGTACAGACTGGCTGTTTTCCTGCATTTGTAGTGTAATTCGTGTGTCAGTTTCGTACCAAACGTGATGTTTGTTCTGTGAGGAGATTCTTTTAAAGGTTTTAAACACTACAGGCTTTTATTTATGTACATATCCAGGTAAAGTTTTCCACCCACAAGTTAAACACGGACCCATTTCCATAGTCAGCAATGCTATGAGTTGAAAGTTACCCATAGAAATACACTGAAGGGGAATTCCACCAGCTTTTCAAAATTCTCTGTACACTGCAAAAAAAGATATCTTGAGAAATCATCTTAAATCTGGTGTAGATTTCTAATATTTCCTGTTTTGAGATGGTTGCAGGAATATTAAGATTATTTAAAGTATTTCTGGATGTTTTTTTTTTTACTCATTTAAAGTAGTAAAGTGAGTAAAATTCTCACTGCATTGTTTCATATTCATATTTTTTTTAAAACTAAGCAATATTTTCTGCCAATCTAGTGAAAATTTTACTTGATAAAGTTACTCAAAAGATGTAAAAATGTCTAGAAATAAGTTAAACAATCTTATAATGATAATCTTTACATGAATATTTGATATGTTGACTGGCTTTAAGATAATTTGACTGGGAAAAAAACACTTTTGCAGTGTAATTTATCATTGAGAGTCATTCAGAGTGGTTTGGCGTGAAATGGTTCAGATCTCTTTACAGTGGTGCTGATAGGAACCAGGGGTCGCCATGACTACAACACAAATATAGACATTTTATTTACTATCCAGAACCACCAGTGAACCTACACGAGTCTTCTGTGTTTATATGGAATGTTGATGATGGAAAATGGTGGAAAATCTGAAATAATAAGCTTTTTTTAGGGACTATTTTGCCTCACAGCGCCCTGCATGTATCCCTCCACCGAGAGTCCAACATCAAACCACTTTTAAAGGGTCAAGAATTCCCCTTTAAGTCAAACAGCTGGGCTCTGAAATGGAAATAGCTTTAGAACCCTGATGCGACTGATCTGTCGATGTGTCTGATGTGTGAATGGAAATGCATGTTGACCAGTTCTGTATCGGCCCGAGATGAAGTGTCCATCCTGTTGTGATCTGTTCACTGTTCTCTGTAAGACATTAATTTATCTCCTCCTTGGTTCTGGTCGTCGCAGCCCACGACTCATTACTCGTCTCATATGTGCTCCAATAAAGCATCTCCCAGCACGTTTCGGTGGTCTGACTGACTTATTTCTCAGTGTCTGCTTTAATATTCACTTCAGAAGACTCAGTTTCAGTTACTGTACGTTTACAGTCATTGCCGCTGTCGTTATAGCTGAACTGTACGTTTGTATGAAGTGTGTATGTGGGAGCGAATCACTGACCCTGGTCAGAACTGGACAAAGTACAGTCTTTACTATTTAAGAGACAAAAAGTCAGCTTAAAGGTAAAGTTGCTACATGATTCAGTCATTTCTTCACAGTGGTGGTGATAGGAACCAGGCGTCGCCATGACAACACAAATATAGATAAATATTTTATTTACCATCCAGAACCACCAGTGAACCTACACGAGTCTCCTGAGTTTATATGGAATGTTGATGATGGGAAATAGTGGAAAATCTCAAATAAGTTTTCTTTGGGGACTATTTTGCCTCACAGCATCCTGCATGTATCCCTCCACCATGAAGCTTTTATTCAGCAGAGAAAAAGTGCCTTTTTGCCCCCAGAGTTGAGAGCTTTTCGTTTTAAGTGTTTTTTATACCCTGAAGTTAAGTACTTTTGCAGAGTTATGTACTTGTTTTTTTCAGAGTTTGGAACTTTTTTCCCCCAGAATTAAGTGTGTGTGTGTGTATGTATGTATATATATATATGTATATATATATATATATATATATATATATATATATATATATATATATATATATGAGTGAAATACTTTTCCGATTTAAGTGCTTTATTTCCATAGTCAAATACTTTTTCAGTCTTTTGTGTCTGTAAATTTTGACAAAACATGATTACAGGGCGGAGCTAAGTGCTCTTTTTCACCCTAGAGTTAAGTACATTTTTCCTCCAGAGTTAAGTGCTTTTTTCCTAGTGATTTATTCCCCAGAGTTATGTACTTTTTCCAGAATTAAGTACGTTTTTCAGAGTTAAGAACTATTTTCCAGAGTGTTTTTTTCATGGAGTTAAATACTTCTTCCAGAATTAGGTACTTTTTTACAGAGTTAAGTGCTTTTTTCCAGTGTTTTTACCCCCAGAGTTAAACACTTTTATTCTCTAAAATACTTTTTCAGAGTCAAGTACATTTTTCAGAGTTAAGTGCCTTTTTTCTCCAGCATTTTTTTCCCCAGAGTTGAGTACCTTTATTCTCCAGAGTTAAGAACTTTTATTCTCCAGAGTTAAGTACATTTACTCTCCAGAGTTAAGTACATTTATTCTCCAGAGTTAAGTACATTTACTCTCCAGAGTTAAGTACATTTATTCTCCAGAGTTAAGTACATTTATTCTCCAGAGTTAAGCACTTTTTCCCAGAGTTAAGTACTTTTATTCTCCAGAGTTAAGTACCTTTACTCTCCAGAGTTCAGCACTTTTTCCCAGAGTTAAGCACGTTTTCAGAGTTAAGTGCTTTTTTCATAGTTCAGAATTGTTTCATTTTTACAGGTAAGTGTTCCTCAGCGGCTCCGGTGACGTTACTTCCTGTATGAAGCGGAAGCCCGCGGGGTGCAGGATTGGCGGTGTGTTGTTTTTTTGCGGTGCACTAAAACAGCCAGTGAAGCTGTTTGAGCGCGGCGGTTCGCTCAGCGCACAGCGGGACCGCAGCAGTGGAGACTTTTGGGCAAAAACACAAAGTTTACCCGGAGTTTGTGAGTTTTAGCGCCGTTTAAAGGATCCGGAGCCCAACTGAGAACTTTTCCCCTCAGAGGAACTCCGCGGTGTCGGTTTAGCGGAGAAACGGGCTGAGAAACGGCGGTAACGGAGGGACCTTCAGAGATAATCCAGCACACACGGAGATTTAGCGCAGTTTAACTGGAG